CCGCCGGACCCGCCAAGCTCCAGGTAGGCACCCCTTTCGTTCTTAGTACCATGTGGCTTTTAGCTTCCTTGGTATGTGGAATCCTAACTAGGATTGCCATTTGCTCAGGTCATCGCCGACTTCGATGGCACGCTCACGCGGTACTGGTATGACGGCGCCCGCGGGCAGAGTACGTTTTCGCTTCTGTTGCACAAGTTTTCGGAGGTTCTAGTAATTAAGATTTTGTATGTGTTGAGAGGTTTATCTGTGTCTCTGTGTGTGCGTGCCAGGTAGTCATGGGCTGCTCAGGCAAGGGAACGAGGAGTATGACGCCAAGAGGGAGGCGCTGTACCAGCACTACCACCCCATCGAGATTTGCCCCGACATTCCACTCCCGGAGAAGGCCAAGCTCATGGAAGAATGGTACTGGTGAATCTTGACTGGTCATTCTTTATTTAATGTACTGTGTTGTAACCCACGTAGTTCTAGTATGACCATTAAGCCTACTATGTATATTTTCATTTCTGATAGTTTGGGATTCTGTTTGTCGCAGCAGCTGAACATACTGATGTGTGGGCTTTCTTGTGTGCCATGGTACCTGAAAAGTGAAAACATTTACAGCAGAACTTAAAACTGAAAAGTTTTCTTGAAACTATAGTTCTCTGACGAGCTTCTGGTTCCTACCATCAATTGTCTGCCATTTGGTTTAAATTTTTAATGCAACATGAAGTCATGAACCTGATTATATATTTTCAACAGCAGGAGCTGAGTCGCTTACAGTTGAAGTTGTTGTGTGCTACAGGTGGGAGAAGACTCATGGTCTCCTTATTGAAGGTGGTCTTACATTAGAAGCTATCACAAAATCTGTCTCTGATGCCGCAATTGCTTTCAGAGAGGGTGTGGTGGAGCTCTTTGAGTACTTGGAGGTTTGATTTTCGTTTATCAAAGCCTTCTCTATTGTTGCTGTCGCTATGTTTAGTAAACTTTTTTGGGACATGCCTAGATACCCTTATTGGGTTCGACTGTTTGGTATGGACTAAGATCAGTAATAACTTTACCTATGTTGCTATAAGTAAAAGAACTAACTGTTAAGCTGCTTCATAAAAAGTTTGAAGGATGCAAAACCTTCTTTGTTTGTCCCTTCCTTATTTTCTTTTGATGCCACCCTAATCATTTTTTTATTTCTGTGTTGTCCTTTTCCTTTTAGAGTGATTATGACATGCAGTTCTTTCACTCTTACCAGTTTGTCGAACTGAAAGGCTGCAAATTTGTGGTGCTCTCATTTGCGAAGTTTTTTTTATATAGTTTTCGGTATTTCTTTTTGTAGAGTTTGTTAGCACATCTATCAGCAAGCTTGTAGTATTGACTGAAGTTTGCTATGTTGTTACCTGCCCTTCTGCAGAATTCTTCTTGTTGTCTTGTTGAAGTGAGTTTCGCTGTGCATATGAAGTAGGCTAGTTGGGATTTCAACCCTCAATGTTTCAACTTGTTCCATAAAAAGTATTCTTGTTCCTTTTCTACTGTTTGCTTCTTGTTTTGTCTTAAATTTATGTTATCAAATGATTTCCCTACTTTGACTGTTGTGCATCTGGATGCATAGTTCATAGTAACATATTATGCTTATCTCCTTAGGGCAGAAAAACTTCTAGTGAAGAGACCATTTCCTTTCTGTGATGCTTAGTTCTTTTTTCATCCTTCATGTCCTAGGTGTAGTGTAGGTGACAATGTGATATTGCTAGGTCAAAATGGGATTACCTGGGGCAAGGCAATGGCATTTTCAGGGATAAGTATTTAGGTGAATTTTTAATTAAGATTAAGACTTTCAATTATAATTTCAGGAGAGAGATATTCCAGTGCTGGTATTTTCTGCAGGACTCGCAGACATAATTGAAGAGGTAAGCTATGAAAAGGAATGATTCAACATATGTTGTGATGAATTTAATTGCTGACTGACAGTGTGACACATCCTGCTGCTCCATTAGGTCTTCCGGCTGAAACTACACAAATCATTCAAGAACATCAAGATTGTCTCCAACAGGATGGTGTTTAATGAAGAAGGCCGTCTTGTAGCATTTAAAGGTGAATTTTTAATCTCATAATCTTCTATTTGCAGTGATGTTTATTCATCATGAATTCTATGTATGGATATATATATATTTAAAAAAAAACAGTGTCATTTCTTGTTGCGTTAGGTGCTTACTCAAGGAAATCCTTAGCCTTGCTGAGTTGCTGTTACTTGTTGTCACACGGACTTCTTTTTTAAGATTTACTTTTAATTGGTACATATACCTGTCCTTGTGGATTGGTGGATCCCTTTTTTCCTTGACTATCTTTTACCATGGGGTCTATGAGTAATTGATTGCTTGGTTACAATCATTGGGTAAAATATATGCTATTGCAGTATTGCTTGTCTTCTGATAGAAACTAACAAAAGCCTAATGCAGGGAAAACAATTCACGTTCTAAACAAAAATGAGCATGCCTTGGACATGGCTGCTCCAGTACATGGCAATCGGGGGGATCCAAATGGATTTATTGATGACTATTCATTGGTGAAGAAAAGGACCAATGTGCTGCTACTTGGCGATCACATTGGAGACTTGGGGATGTCTGATGGTCTAAACTATGAAAACAGGATTGCTGTTGGATTCCTGTTAGTAACTTTTTGATTGCCTTGCTTCATTCAAAGTAGCAGTGATATTACCATCTTGGGACTACCATTTTTAATTCTTAAGTCAACTAAGCTGATTAGTGTTTTCTTGACATACATAACAAGTAGTAAAATTGCAGGAAATTTTTAATGATAGTGAAATGTTGTTTCTCTTTGTATTTTTCCTAATTTCTGTCTATTATCGCCCACACAAAAAAATGGTTTCCATACAGATTTGTGCATCAAGTAATGCTGAACTGATTTTCCAGGAATGCCAACATCGAGAAATCTTTGAAGGATTACTCTAGCTCATTTGACATTGTATATCTGGTGAGATATGGCTTAGCATGTTGCAATTTTATCTGTTTCCTCCAGGTTATTGTAGTTTTACACCTTATCAATGCCTGTTCTAAAGTAATTTGCTTTTGACGTTCAATCCAATGCAGAATGATGCTCCGATGCAGGGAGTTGTGAAACTTGTGTCTGAATTATGTCCATAATCCAATGATCTTCCATTGCCCCTTAGAAATGGAAATCTTTCCCTGAACTTTGCAGCTGTCGCAGTTCGCTCACATGGAAGTCTAAGATTTCACTCTTGCTAACTAAGGCTTGCTTCCTAAGCAGCTGTTGTATAGGCTCATTTCAGGGCCAAAGAGCCCTTGGAACAATGATCATTCTTGACTTGTAAGCTAATCCAATTATCATGTGCACTATGAAATTTCAGCATTATTCCTTGAGACTTTTGCTGTCATTTTTCGATATTCTATGATAGCTCATTGATTCTTGTCAAAAGACGGTAATTTCATGGGTGAAGCACAGATGAGGTTGGTTGGCCAGACCAATAGCTGCAGATGAAGCTAAGGTAGACTCATCATCTTCCTGAACCTACTTCACGTTACTACGAATCCAATCTATCTGTAAGGCAGGCTGATCTCTTTGTTCTGGTGGTTGCGAGATCTATTTGTGGCTTTATCGTGACGAATTACAGCTCCATGCAGCTCTGTTTTTTTTCTGGTCAAGGATTTTGCAACTTGCAAGAATCATGAGATCTTATAAAGTGAAGGAAATAAATCATATCGTGCACACCCATATCAAGTACATCACAAGATTTTGCGTGTCGTTTGATACCAAGTACCAAGCCGTTCTCCTGTAGTCTCCTTTTAGGTAGGAAAACTAAAGACCACCTGTCCATCTATAAATCTGATGATTTTCCATACACATCTTACATGATGAAATTGTTGTAAAAATGATGGCCAGCTCATCTCAATCAACAAGATTACAATTGGAATGTTTGGACAAAGTGGTAGTGGGTATAGTCAAAGATCATATTTCCAATCCAATGCATGCATCATGGGCATTCATTGGACGCTTGCAATGATGTTCACATCCTAGATGAACAATCATATTCTGACCAAAGATGTTGTATGAACAGCTATGAACGACCTGTATGTTACGAAAGTACAGAGCATTCTTTTATCACCATTTCGTTTTCCGTATAAAATGAACTCCCAATGGTTTTCACGCTTTCGCTACTCGCTATAAAGAATTAACTATGCATTTAGTTACACCAACGTTTAGGTTCAGCAGCTGAAGCTGGAAAGGAGAAGTACTGATCAGGAGTTGGAAGCTGTGCACAGAACCATCGTGAGGCATTTCAAACCCAGCTCGTGGTCTCACATGTCAATCCCCCAAAAGTGGATATCGTCAGCAACTCGTGGGTGCATTCTCTGAAAAATGCTTATCACGCGGATTTGATCCGACTACTGAACAGCATTTCTTCATGTGCTACTGCGTTTGACAAATGCATTATCAAGGAACTTTAGTTAACAGCGAAAGAGTCATAATTTTGGTTCACAGCAGATCCAGTTATTTCCATATACAGCACAGAAAGGCTCTGAGAAACATAGCACACAAAACATGTTCAAAACACACACACACACACACACACAAAGCACTCAAAATGCGCGGGCATATGCTGCGTCCAACTCGAAGATTCAGATCTCGTAGCTTCATGCTTGTTGGGAACATACTATCATGTTACATCTACAGATAAACAGGCCTCTACTTCATTCTAACAAAGGGGAATTCCTCCTCGATTAGTCATACAAGGTTCCAAAAGATTACAACCCAGCAGGTTTGGGAAGATAGGATCATACAACCTCTATACAAAAAGCAGGTAGAATGCTCCTATGCCCTGGAGGAATAACCCATAGTAGTCAGTACATATTAAACTAATTAGTACAAACAGAAGAACCAAAATCTTCATCTAGGTTCCCCTTCATGCAGGGAACCAAGGAAAAAGGGGTTCTCGATGTTGAACATCAGGGCAGACTGTCGTCATGTCTTGGGTTCTCGGCCACCATGGTGACAAGCTATACAACAGAGACGGCAGGTGTTAGTGCAACTTCCATTGTTGGTGGTGGCTCAGGCCATGAGAACTCAAAAGGGGCAGCCATGGTAAGAAGCTGAGTGGCTGATGCAGTCTCTTTTGGGGACGACTGGGTGTACTGGAACTCGATTTGGAGGCGGTGGTGCAATGGGGTTGATGCCATCAGTCCTTTCTTGATGTCCACCTGTAGTTCCCGGATTGGTATGGCTGCCAAGAAACTCTTGATGTATTCTTTACATGATTCTTTGCCCATCGACACAAGCACGCCCTCTTCAGTATCATTCCCACTGTCCTGGTCAGTTGAAGAGCTCTCAGAACCTGAAGAGTCCTTCAATGGTCCACTTGAGTCGGGGCTAGAAGGTTTCTTTTCACCATGTACCTTGTGAATTGTAGTGTCGTTGTCAAACTTCAAAATGTACGCCTGGCTGCACCCTTCATGGAGCCTTTCTCCAAGGGTATCGATAATGTAATATGCATCATGCTCAACCTTGAGTAGAAAAAAGTGGTCATTCCAACTTACTATGTATAAGTTAGGGCTATCACTAGATGAGAACTCTGCTGCCTGGGCAATCTCATCCCAGATGTTGTCAAATGACATGGCACCATTAAGAAAGTCAAAACCACTCATGTCATCATCGCCTTCGGGCTGGAAGAATCCAATAAAAGATTTGCTGGGGGAAACTGTCAGCGGGCGAATATTGGCATGAAGGACAGTTTCAAGATCAAAGTGCTTGTCAGGAAAACGCTCTCTATATGTCTCGTTGTCGCAAAGGTTTCTCCACTCTAGTGATCCTTCACGGATAAGGCTGTCAAACTGTGACTGGATAGGCATCATATTCTGATTTGCTTGGAACCAGTCTGCGATAACAGCCACAAGTGCTGTACATGCGCTCTCCCCAGCTGCTCGCTCACTTCTCTGGTCTATTGATGCAAAGAACACCTGGGATGAAAGCTTCATATGGCCATCGCGGCTAATTATCTCCTTCAACTCCCAATTTCCAATGACAAAATTGTCATCACCAAATTCTGACACCATACCGTTTGCTGATCCATCTTCTCCTCTTGATCCCTGAAATCCAAAGATGCGTTGCTTAAAAGAAGCTGAAGTGAATTCGTGAAATATGCTGTTAACTTGTTTTATAATGCTAAAAATAGGAGGGAAGATTTACCTCTGAAACAGATTCATCAGAAGATGTTAGCAAGCGTCGATCATAGTCAATATCATCACCTCCCTCTTCCCCATATGCCTTTTTCAACAGAGGTTCGCCTTTAGCCTTCAGTGACCGTAAACTCAGTTTCCTCTTTCTCCAAGGAAGTATACTGCGCTTAGCAGTTAGCAACCCAGTCTCTGTGGTTGATGGCAACACTTTCTCTACATGGAAACCGACATCAGATTTTCGGTTACTATAATATATCCAGTCCTCATGCTTCCCATCAATCTTTGCATGGGCATAAACTAGGCCACCAACGTAGTTGACAGACTGCAGAGAGCCATAACTGAAGGACTTCCTGATAGTTGAATCTCCAAATTCATCTTCCTGTACTCTGTCATCCAGATCGTCATCAAGGGACTCAGTATCACATGGATATTCAGCACCATCACTGTTAACGCAGAACTTATCTTCGCCGCCTTCCTCATCTTGGCAAGTCTTCTTAGACCTTCGCGTTGACACCAGATCTGTGAGAATTTTCACCTTCCTCAGCCCTGCTTTAATAACTGAAACCTCATCTTTTCCTCCAGGAAGAGAATCACCAGATGATGGGGACAATGGCAAGGTTGCAGCAGGTCGCTGTGATGCATCAGATGTTTCTTGAAAAGCTCTTAGTTCCACCATACTCAAAGTGAGCTGCACAAAAATAAGATCAAAGGTCACATGGTATAGTGATTTAAAGTAGAAGTTTTTTTCCCCCGAAATTTGAAGGACAACTGTTAACCGGAACTTCTAGTTCACATCGTATACTCACATGAAGGGATGGGGCTGGTTCAGGTGCACCACCAGGTACAGACAATGGAAGAATTATCTCAATCGTCTCTCCAGCCGTCAATGCATAATCTGCTAGATTGAGAGAAGCAGTTCCCAGAATTGATGGTTTATTCTTTGGGCCTTTGTTGATATCCTGTACCAAAGAAATAAGGAGAAGGAAGATCAGACTTGCTTGCAAAGATGAAATCAGCTCAAAAGAAATATACACAAAGTTGCCAAGGGATGATATCTCCAAAGCTAACATATAAAACAAAATGTTCTGATTGCCTTGACAAGGAAACTATCTTGTCCATATAATACGTTGTTATTCAATGCTTGTCATCACAAGGTAACATGTTACTGTCAGGAAGATAAACTTGCTCCATACTAACAGGAATATGGATACAGAGATTTCTTCCCTACGACTAATCATGGACCATATGACATCAGAAACAACTCGTGTGTTTTTCCTTTTGATTGAAATGAAATGTGAGTGGATGATTTCTCCTACTATAGTTTACAAGAGAAGTAAAACACAGCACTTGTTACGTTACACACAGACACATGAAAGGTTAAGCAATTAGAAAACGTTAATCACTTAACAGAACTAGTATAGTGCCCGTGCTAACGCTACGGCTTCATTTCAAGGATGTACATGGAAACAACCAAACAACGATTTTTTTTTCCAGAGTTCAACTTTCACACAATTGTATATGACCATGTATATACAATCCGGGAAACACTTACACGTAACAAGACATAATAAAGTTATTTCTCGCATTAACCATATAATTTACAATCTGCCTAAGTCCTTAAACATGTCTCGGAGATCTTCATGGCCACTTCATGCAAACTTCATCCCAAATAATCAAAGATGCCGTACCAAGCTTCTTAAAGTAGATATAGCTTCTTAAAGTAACTCTATAATTCACTTTTGATAAATGAAAGAAAAAATTGTATTTGATCTTTTTTAAAATTAAATAGTAGATATAGTCGTAAATATATGTGCGCAACCGCGATGGATATTTATCTGGTTGTTCCTCGGTTTCTCCCTCTCTCCCATCCTGTTTTTCTTTCTTCAGATGATTTTCAGGTATTAGAAAGCTAACTAATGAAAATTATTGGACAAAAGAAAAAAAAGCATTTCTTCTTGGCATAATCAACTGATTTATCAAGTAAGTTTTAAGTACTCCATCTGTTTTAAATTGTAAGTCGTTCCAGCTTTTCTAGATACATACTCCCTCCATTCCAAATTATAAGTCGCTTTGACTTTTTTGGTTCATCCATTTTGTTATATATCTAGACATATTATTATATCTAGATGCATAACAAAATGGTTGTACCAAAAAAATCAAAGTGACTTATAATTTGAAATGGAGGAAGTGGTTTTTACTATGTATATAGACATAATGTATATTTAGGTGCATAGCAAAAGCTATATATCTAAAAATTAGAACAAAACTAATTGTCTCTAGCTTGCGTGTTCTATTTCATAATGGCCTTTTATTTTCATAATCACGTGTTAAGTCGGTTCGTTTATTTTGTAAACTCGGTCGGGGCGTGTAGTGTGTTACTTTTGTAACACAGTGGTTAACTCCTCTCTTTGGAGGATGAAACCGGATATTTCTTCTATTTTTTTTAAAAAAAATAGGCAAAACCAAATGTGCTAAACCTCTTCATCGATCTCCTCTCTGTGGGCCCGGACTGTAAGTGACCCGTTTTGCTTCCTTGTCCAGGGTGCCGCCGTTGGTATTTTATGAGAAGAAAGGGGTAGACCCTTCCAGGTTTAGGCGTTTAGCCACGCTGCAGACGCTCCACTGCTCCTACTGACGCGTGGGGTCACCAAACCAGGTCCCATGTGTTCTTGACGAAAACATGCGAGTGGGTATGTTGGCAGGTCTGTCGCCATTCCTTATTGACGCAATACCAAAACGACACGTAGAGTTTTGGAAGGGGCACGTCAGATGGGGCCGGGCTCGGCATGGGTTTTTCCATTATAATGAAAATTCTGGAAATTGCCTTGATCAGAGTCACGGATCCCTCCTTCCTATTTGCCTTGATTGACTTCCATATTTGCCTTGATTGACTTCCATTGGTTTCCATTTTACCGTAGCCTGCGGGATGTGTGAGGCATGCGTTGAAGACTGGGTGGGGGAGATCCAAATAACGTTGGCCATCGGATCAAGTTGAAGCCTGTGAGAAAGGATTAGGAGCCATAGATTTTAATGATACGGTAATCCTGGGTACAATTTTGTTCGCGTACAATGGTTGTAGCCTCTCAGCGGGGGACTTTTTTTTTGGGAGACCTAATATAGTTTTGATTGGTCCCTTATAGTAGTTTTAGATAGGTGGGACTACAGACACATGAGTGTCAGCAGCAAAAAGGGCAAATAAGAACAAAAACTGGAAAGTAGAATCAAAATGGGCAAACAGGATACCCTGATCATAATTTGTTACTTAAAAAAGTAGTGCTTGTTTGGACCTCGGAATAGGAACCCAAATCATTAGGATATTAGGTCGAAGTCCAACTAAAATCCAAAAACTACGGATCACTTTCCCATTTCCAAACACACCATAAGTGGAGCAGAAGTAAACCAACCTGATTCTGGACACAAAATTTTCTACAGGACAGCGTCAAACAAGTGGGAGATGATGCAAATAACCAACAGGGGAACACCGAAATCATCTAGTGATACACACTGTATAGTTCGCTGCATTGTTATGAAGAGTATGAACAATAGGAGCAGATAGTAGAAGAGAATCCAAGGAGGAGGAGACGCTCACGCTGAAGACGCAGAAGGCGAGCTCCCACGGGTGGAACGCGGCGCCCTCCCGCTGCGACGCGGCCGCGAGGGTGACGACGCTCTCGAACTCCTCCTCCCACGCCGCCCCGGCGTCCTCCCGCGTGCGGTTGCGCCTGACCGCGGCACGCCGCAGCGAGCCGAGCACGGAGGCCCTGGGCCCCTTCCACCTCACCTCCGCCGCGACGACAGCGGCCCTCGGCGGCGCGGCGCCCGCCGCCGCCTCGCGCTCCGGCGAGCCCGGCTCCGCCGCTGTCGCAGGCGGAGGCGGAGGAGGCGGCAGCCCCTCCGCACGCCGCACCACCAGCCGCGCGCGGAACTTGCGCGCCGCCGGCGGCCGCGGCCACCGCATCATCCTCGCCACCATCAGCGGCTCGCCGGCGCCCCCCAGTCACCGCGCGAGGCGAGGGTCGCAGAGAGAGATCGGCCGTAACCTGGGGTTTGGGGGGGGGATAAGTAAGTATCGATGACTGAGTCTGAGACGTCAGGAAGCGGACAAGGGAACGCGGTTTCGGCTGTGGAAGGCGTCGGACTGAGACTGAGAGAAGCCAGGCGGCGGCGAGGCCAGCCGGACCGCGAGGTGGGAGTGGGAGTGGGATTGGATTTGAGCTTTGAGGCGGGTTCTCTCGGGGGAGAGGAGGAGGAGGAGGAGGGGAGGCCCGCGGCGGATGCACGGGAGGAGAGAGAAGCGGAGCTCCGAAATAAATAGGAATGGTGAACGTTAGGTCGGGGGAGGGCGTTGCCGTTGGCGTTGCAGACTGCAGTGTAGTGGTTCTTCGTCGTCTCCGTTTGGGCTTTCTCCCTGTTTTTTCTTTTTGCCCCTGGTATATTATTATTATTATTCCATTCGACCCTTGACGTTAGATTCCGCGGTGGAGCCCACTGCAGCCTTTTTCTACGCTGTCAATTTCGTCTCGTGTGGTTTAATTTCCCCATTTCTCGCCACATGGATTACTCTAACTTTATGCTAAAGTCAAGGTACATTTTAAATAGGGCTTAGTCTAATATTGACAATGTTTATGATATCAAAGTATATTATAAAAACAAGAGTATATATAGTATTTTTTATAAGAAAGTATATATGTTATTTCTTATACTGTACCTATATACGGTGTATGTATGTGTAGTAAAAGCTACTTTGTGGGTTGGGGGCCGAGCGACGTGGGGGCGCGTGGCGTTGCAAGTTGCCTGGCGGTAAGCGCTGAAAAGAAGTGTGCGTGGCCGTGGGCCGTGGGCCGTGGCGGATGCCCGCGGCCGTGTGCGCCGCGTTGTTTTTGCCGCGTCGTTTGACGGGAACACGATTGCACGATGGTGGGCACTGACACCGGGGGAAGGGCGTGCTCCTCGTTCGTTGCGGTTGCGGTTGCGCCTGCGCCCGCGGCCGCGGCCGAGATGGTGTCTGCCGGCCGCCTCTGTTCCGTTGACATTTCCCACGCCGCAGGACGGCAGGAGACCCAAGGCCACGACGGGTTTTTAACGGACGCAGAAAGTCTTGGGGGAAACGGGATTTGCACATAAACCCCCGGGGTTCAACTCAATCCGAGAGCTGCTGAACCCCATCGTTTTCCACCCTGAAAGCTGAAAGTCTCAAAGCCGTTTCAGCTGTTGAGGTCGAAAAGATAATCTAGGTTAGGTCTAACGGGTTCTTTTTACTGTGAATACGATATCGAGAGTAGAGGGACAGAGAGGAATAGAAGAAGAACGTGTCGAACCTGACACCGCAGAGGGAGATGATCCAGAAGCCGCCATCTCGTTCGTCGGTGAAGTCTGCGCACGGGCAGCGACGTTCAGGGAAGAGATCAATGAAGTCGTTGACGTCGGTGGAGCGGGGCGGCGTGGCTGGTGGCTTCCCGTCACTGACTGCGCTCCTCTCTGATCGGGATTAGGGTTTAGGTGTCGGTGGGGAGCTCGGCTCACGGTAAACCTCGTACTCAGAGCCGCTGGCCCCCACCTCTATATATAACGTAATGTGACAGGGGCCCTCCAGTCATAGTGGGCTGGGCGTCCCCGATCAGGACACGGATCAAAGGCCCAACTAGGCCGTTGGGCCCAATTTAGGATTAGAGATCAATTTAACAATCTCCCCCTTGATCTCCTACCATCTTTCAATTTCATATCATTTAATTTTGTTCATTCCATTACAGATTAGCACATAGAGCATGTTTCATCGTCACGGTCAATTGCCGATAGATTTAATAACTTCAACACACCACTCTGTTCTAAAACAGATACTTAACTTTGGGCCTTCTTTTATCCAGAAATTATAGGCTTTCCCTTAAACCCATGTCGGCTACATGTTCTCTGAACACGTTGGGTGGTAAGCCTTTTGTAAGCGGATCCACGAGCATCTTTTCGGTACTTATATGCTCAAGACTTATGACATGATCCCGGACTTTGTCTTTCGCAACATAATACTTTATGTCAATGTGTTTGGCAGCACCACTTGACTTATCGTTGTGAGCATGCTGTATTGCTAGATTATTATCGCAGTATAACTTAAGTGGTCTATAGATGTCGTCAACCATCTTCAAACTGGGTATGAACTTCTTTTGCTAGTTCACCTGCCCTGTTGCCTCATAACACGCTATAAACTCGACATACATTGTGGACGATGTAGTGACAGTTTGCTTTGAGCTTTTCCATGAAATAGCTCCTCCTGCGAGAGTGAATACATATCCAGGCGTGGATTTTTTATCATCTCCCGCATAATCAGAATCTGAATATCCCACTATATGGAGTGAATCTGATCTTCTATACGTCATCATGAGGCTTTCTGTTCCTTACAAATAACGCAAGACTTTCTTTACTAATTTCCAGTGTTCTGTTCTAGGATTGCTCTAGAATCTGCCAAGTAACCCGGTAACAAATGCCAAGTCAGGACGCGTACATACTTAAGCGTATTGCAAGCTTTCGACAGCTGAAGCATATGGAACCGTTTTCATTTGATCGATCTCATACTGATTCCTAGGGCATTGAAAATCCCCATATCTGTCGCCCTTGACTATATGAGCAGGTGAGGGACTACATTTGTGCATATTGAATTTCTTTAAGATCTTTTCTATGTATGTATTTTGTGACAGTCCTAATACCCCTTTACTTCTATCTCGGTGAATCTCGATTCCTAAAACGAACGAAGGTTCACCAAGATCTTTCATATCAAATTTTGAGGACAAAAACTTCTTTGTCTCTAGTAGTAGACTGACATCACTACTAGCAAGTAAGATATCATCCACATACAGGACAAGGAAGATAAACTTCCCATTCTTAAACTTTGCATAGACACAATTATCCTCTACATTATCTTTAAACACAAAATTACTTATTGTCTGATCAAACTTCAAGTATCATTATTTTTGAAGCTTGTTTTAATCCATAAATGTATTTCTTTAGGCGGCATCCCATTCATTCTTTTCTTTCCATGACAAAACCTTTTGGTTGTGTCATGTAAACATTTTTCTCCAAGTCCCCGTTGAGAAATGTCATCTTTACATCCATCTGATGTAATTCTAAATCGTAATGTGACACTAATGCCATTATGATCCTGAAGGAATCCTTACATGAGACTGGAGAAAAAGTCTCATTGTAATCAATGTCTTCTCTTTGTGTAAAGCCTTTTACCACAAGTCACGCTTTTATATCTCTCTATATTCACTTGAGAGTCAAGTTTTATTTTGTAGACCCATTTATAGCCTACTGTTTTGGCTCCTTTAGAAATTATTTTCAAGTTCCAAACTTTATTGTCATTCATAGATTTCATTTCATCTTCCATGGCCTCAAGCCACTTTGATGAATAATCACTTCTCATGACTTCTTCAAATGAGGTGGGATCATCCTCCATTTGAAATTCCTCAGTGTTGTATACTTCATAGTTAGCAGGAATAGCTGATTTTCTAACTCTTTGAGACCTTCTAGGGGCCTCCACATTTGGCACATCTTCTGTTTGAGGCAGTTGTTGCTCCCCCTCATGTGTGGCAATAGGTTTTATAGGATCCTAAAGAACAAGTTCCTCATCGTCATTCATTGTTACCACAGGCGGAATAACAATATGTGTTGGCACCACAGTATCTTGCACTGTCGGTACAGCGACAACATGTAGTGAGAAAAATGGCTCATGAATCATCGGAGTGAGCGTATACACCCGCTTTTCTTCAAGGTCAATTTCTCGAGCTACCATGCTCCCCCTCATCATTTCATCCTCTAGGAAGACAGCGTGTCTTATTTTCACAAACTTTATATGTCTGTCAAATACTTTAGAAACGAACACGTTTTGACTTTTCTGGGTAGCCAATAAAATGGCAACTTATTGTTTTGGGATCTAGCTTCCCAATGTTTGAATTAAATACTTTAGCCTCAGCAGGACTCCCCCACACACGTATGTGGTTTAGTGAGGGTACTCTTACTGTCCACAACTCATACGGTGTTTTGGGCACCGACTTACTTGGTGCTCTATTGAGAATATGAATGGCGATTTTTAATGCCTCCATCCACAGGCACAACGGTAAGGTGGAGTAACTTATCATACTACGCACCATATCTATCAAGATACGATTGTGTCTTTCAGCTACTCCATTCTGTTGAGGTTCACCCGATGTAGAATACTGGGCTACTATGCCATTCTCCAGTAAGAACCTTACAAAAGGTCCAGGAACTTGGCCATATGGGGTATGCCGACCGTAGTACTCCTCCCACGATTGGACCTGACTATCTTAATCTTTAAATTGTATTGGTTTTCAACTTCTGCCTTAAATATCTTAAATTTATTCAATGCTTCTGTTCTTTCTTTGATTGGATAAATATAGCCATAACGAGAGTAATCATCTGTGAATGTTATGAACGAATCATAACCATCCACACTCTTTACAGGAAATAGACCACAGATGTCTGTGTGAATAATCTATAAAATTCCTGCGTTTCGTTTGACATATTTCTTAATTTTCTTTACATACTTTTCTTTTATGCATTCTCTGCATTGTTCTAAATCTGAGAACTCTAACGGAGGAAGAATATCATTCTTAACTAGTCTTTCTATCCCCCCACGAAATATGGTCTAAACGACAGTGCCATAATTTCGACGACGCATGGTGAGCTCTCTTTCGTTTTCTATTTACATCCGCGGACGAGGATACATTCTCATTGTCGCACGCAACGTTCCCATCATCGCATACAACATTCACATCATCACGTAGTGATAACAAATAAAGTTCATTTTGTAAGATAGCAAGACCAACACATGCATTATTAAATGTTATCTTACATTTGTCATTTCCAAAATGGCAATCATATCCATTATTATCCAAGCATGAAACACTAATCAAGTTTCTTTGTAAAGAGGGAACATAAAGTACATCTCTAAGTAAAAGTGTGAAG